GAGAGAGAGAGAGAGAGAGAGACAGAGAGACAGAGAGAGAGAGACAGACAGACAGAGAGACAGAGAGACAGGCTGGCGAGAGAGGGAGAGAGAGAGAGACAGAAGGAGGTTTTAGGGGATTTCTGAAAGTTCTAATTGGCTCATTAACAACTAATTAACTTTATTATCTAAAATCTAATTAATTACAGATTGAGAGAGAGTAAAGAGCTGTCTCTGTCTCTGTCTCTCTGAGTGGAAGGAGTGCGGAGTTGGCGGAGCGTGTTTGAGAGCGATAAATAACGTTTTTCCGATCTTTTTCGTCACTGTGTAATGGGGTATGTGTAGTGTAGTGTAGTGGGGTGTGCAGGGTTCACAGGTTTTTTTTGTGTACTTTTAGCTGTTTTTTGGGTCTTTTTTGTGAGCGGATTGCAGCCGGGCAGCACGTGCTGTCGGCTGCTAAACGCCACCATGAGCCTGACCGAGTTAACCAGGGAACGCTGGGTGAAGATCCCGCCGGTGTTCGGGTGTTCAGTGGAGGAAATCAGCCTGGCAGTGGGTGAGCTTGTCGGGCACAGCACGGATGAACAGCGCTGTGGTCATCTTTTTAGACAGCAGAGAAACTGCAGAAGTGGTGTTGATGACCGGGATCTCCGTGGGTGAACACTTCCTACCCACGTATCCTTTCGGCTCACCGGAAGTGAAAGTCACCGTGTCCAACGTGCCACCATTCATAAGAAACGATGCAAAAATCAAAGAGCTGTCCAAACATGGGAAGGTGGTGTCTCCGGTTAGGAGAGTGTCCTCTGGCTTGAAGTCTCCGCTATTAAAGCACGTGGTGTCTCACAGGAGACATGTCCTCATGATCCCCAACAACAGGAGCAGAGTGGTCAACCTCAGTTTCAAAATCACAGTAGAGGACTTTGATTACGTCATCTTTGCAAAGACTAATGATTTTAAATGTTACAGTTGTGGGAAAGAAGGACATCTGAGCAGAGCTTGTCCTGGGGAAAACAGCTCAAACAAAGACCAGAACCAGAAAGGTACTGAGGAGGGCAGAGGGGACAAGCAGGACGGACAAGAGGGAACAAGTGGGGCACAGGAGGCGAGGGTGGAGGAGACGGGTGGGGCCAAGGAGGTGAGAGAGGAGAGGGAAAGTGGGGGTCAAGAGGTGATGAAGGACAGGGAAAGTGAGGTCCAGCAGGTGAGGGAGAGTACTGGAGGACAGGTGGAGACAGGTGGTGAGGTGGACATGGAAGCAGACGAGGAGCAGCTCAAAGCCCCTCAGCTGAAGAGGAAACAGAGAGGAGACAGCGAAAGCTCACAGGCAAAGAAAGTGGCAACGAATGAAAGTGGAGGAGCGGCAGAGTGTGAGTCCAGTCTAGAGGAAGACTCTGGGTCCAGTATGGAAGAGGACTCTGAGTCCAGTCTGGAGGAAGACTCCGAGTCCAGTATGGAAGAGGACTCTGAGTCCAGTTGCGAGGAGGACTCTGAGTCCAGTCAGGAGGACTGCTGACAGTGAGCCCTCTAAACACGGGGCTGGCAGCTGTAGCTCTGGAGTCTACAGCTAGAGATGGGCAGTATTTCTATTACTTGTATTTGAAATACGTATTTCAATTACTTTTGAGTATTTTGTAATTTGTATTTGATAGGGCCGATAATTTGCAACAAAATACTTTAGAGTGGAGTAATTTTGTATTTAAAATACTCAAAATACTTTCTCCACGAATCAAAAAACAGTTCACGAGTTCAGTCTTCAGATCTTCCAGTTCAACAGATTGTCTGTCAAGTTAAATAGTTTATCTGAGTGTGACAGATGTCAACTAGCTTGATGTATAATTGATGTCGGGGTCTGGCTACATAGCCTATTGTATACACATGGTGATGGTTATAATATCAAGCTAGCGATCGATGCTAACATGCTAATGATGCTAGCATGCTGTCTAGGCTAGTGCATAGCCAGTGTTTAGCAAGTTAACTTATCAGTCGAGGAGCTAGCTATAGGAAGAGGGAGATTGGGAGCTTATATGTTCATGATAACCTTATCAAGAGACGTCTGACCATCTAATCTGGCACTGTATTACAAGTTATGCCAGTGGCGGGCCGTGCATTGTATGCCTGGGCCTTCACTGCTGTCCTACAGCTGAAATACCACCTTATAACCACATGATGGCGTCACAGCTATTCGTTTTTAAGGATGTAACTATATACTTCTTCGTATTAACCCGTTCGGTACGAGGCTTACAATACGTTTGAATAATACTAGAGCACTTGGAAAATGCAGAAGTTTAAATTGAGGAAATTATAATGTTTTCTGCACTCACGTAGGACAGTGGTTCTCAGATGGTCTGGCTGTGGGATCCACCATCATTCCTTAATGACAAGCCGCGACTCACCGAAATTGTTTTAGGATTTTACTTTCACAACTCGAACATAGAACGTACTGCTCTGCAATGTCTTTCCTCGTCTCAGTCCCCTGTGTCACGGTGTGTGGTACATCTCACTCCGGTCAGGAAACTTGTCAGAATGCCCATATTTGATTGGCTGAGCTGCATCACGTGATGTGATTCACTACCCGACTAAGCCTCTGCTGTTGAGTTTCACGATAGTCACGTGCTCACCCACTGACCAATCACAGCACACTCTGCACCTTGCGGCAGAGCTACACATGGACACTGAGCTGCACGTAATGCTGACGTAGTTATAGGCTGGCTAGCAGGATCTGACACTTCAAAGAATACGCCCAACATGTCAAACTAAAGATCTGATTGGTTGAACACTATGACAATCAACAATATCGTCCCCATTCACTTAAACTGCACATGGATTCACTTGTGAGTCTGCAGGCCTCTGCCTCTGTTCTTACCTAGAGACACAGAGGTGAGATCTGATTGGATAAAAGCTCTACTTAAAACAAGCTGCACTGGAAGCAGAGCAACTGAGGAAGACAGTAATGAGAAAATAAGCTAATGGGACAAATAATTAGAATACATGTAGTGTATTTATGAAAAATAATTAAATTATAAAATAGATATAACTTTGTGATTCTGTTTAGGCCAGCAGAGAAGGCCCACCACTGAGTTATGCTGTATCTTCTCAATGTGAATGTCATAATGCCATATCAATTACTGGCAGATAACATAGTTCACAGTTAGCCAGGCTATGACAGTAGATGTCCATTTGTTAAAAAAAACAAACATTAAATATCCAATTTATTTGATTGAAAAGGCATATTATGAAAGTATTCTTAGTTTTATTATTTCATACATTCTACAGTTGGCCAGGTGGACAACATGTCTCAGCAAGAAGATGTTCAAGAAGCACCATCAACAAGCACAGATGTGCTTATTACACTGACGTTCTGTGACTGTTCTTCCTTTTTGTGGGCTTCACCAGAGCTTTGTGTACATTATATATAATTATATTATATTATTATTACATTATAGCCCAAACCTGAATGCTCTGCTATACCAAATTGTGAGAAAACGGAAAATCCAGAAAAAGTATTTCCTATATTTTAAATACAAAATACATGTATTGTATTTTGTTACATTTTCTGGCAGCAGTATTTTGTATTTTATTTTGATACATTTATTTGAGGGGTATTTTGTATTTTGTATCAAAATACATTTTGATGTATCTTTGCCCATTTCTGGCTACAGCGTGGAGAAGATCAAGGAGTTTCTGAAGAGGAGTAAGAATGTAAGAGGAGCCAAAGTGGAGGACTACCTCTCTGACAAAGAGAAGCTCTCCAGCTCTGCCAGAGCTCACATGAGGAGCAAGGACAGAGGAGGTCTCACGAAGCAGGAAGGCTTCAGACTGAAGAAGACAGTTCACAAAGTGGACAAAGAACTGAACAAAGATGGTGCTAAGTGAGGAAAAGATCTCACAGTCTAAAGACAATCAAAGACACGTTTATGTTTGTTGGACTTTATTTTGTTAACCGTTTTAACTGGTAAAGAAATATGTTGTTCAAAGAAAATAAAGGTTTTCTAAAAATCAAAAAAATCTCTCTCTTTCTCTCTCTCACAATATTTCCCATGAGAACCAGGGGCAGGAAGCCTGGAAGGAATGAAAACTGTGTCTGACTGTTCGTGTTTCAGAGTGTGTGTGTGTGTGTCTGTGTGTGTTGGAACAAACACAAAGAAAGAGAAGTGTGAAAACAGGACTCTCAGCAGGGTGGAGGGTTATATGTGTGTGTGAGACATATTTTAACAACTTCCTTACAAGAGTCTCAAAACACCCCCCCCCCCCCCCCC